AAGTCCCTCAATGGACTCCAAGAAAAATTTACATTCTTGTCCATTGAGGGACACAGGAAATCTCTTACTGTTGGGGTGTCCAACTAAGGGGCAAGCAAACAGCAGAAACCACTAACAGGCCCAGAAAAATAGAGCTGGGGATTCGCCTGAAGGGCCGACATCCAAATCCAGTACAAGTAGGGGAACCAGCCACAGAGTGAGGACACAGAGAAGTAATCTGATGCCCTGGACCAAGAAACGGTCACCAACCAGAAAAAAAAAATGGATGACTCAACATGGAGGGAGCGCCGAGCAAGAAGCCGGCCAACCTAAACCCACCAAATGCGTGGAACACGCACCAAATTCCTGCTTAGGGAAGAAAATGATTAGACTAAAAAAAGACGTCCATCTTCCTAAGACGCTAGTAAAAAAAACAAGGCATGCTGGGTAAAGGAGGGCTTCTCCTGAGCGGGCCTACTTATTTTAAGGTTGCCAGAGTCCAATCCTCCTGCAGGTGGCAGTATAACCCAGCAGTGCATATGACCTCTTGTGTCCCTCAATGGACAAAAAAGAACCTCAGGTTAGGGTCAGCTGTGCACACAACGCTGCCATCCGTCCCGGTGCTTACATAGAGCGGCCATCTTTACCGAGCAGAAGACGCCATTGGGACTTCTAGGTCCTCGGCTGATCTACAATGTAACCGAACCGTCAGCCCCCGGGCCCGGCCACTCACCTGCAGGACGTGCTTGTTGTCTTTCGTATACAGGACGGCAGACACGGTCGCCAAGGAAACGCCGGGTTTAATTTCCATCGGTACCAGAGACTCGGCCAACTAAAGAAGAAGGAGGATAAGACATAACGGAGGAGATAAAAAAAACACCGACAGACCGGATCTCATCTCTACGATGTCTCCGGATATACAGGACTGCAAATGGAGGGGGAGGGGCAGAATGCCCAATCTAGTCTGGTCAGACATATGGTAGGGGGGCCCCATCGTCCAGCCTGACCCTCAGCAAGACAGGAGCACCCAGTTATGACAGACCGGGAAACTCCTGATCTATCACCCCCCATTCTATCCGGCTGGAAGCTCTAATCCCTATTGTATGATGGGAGTTGTAGTATGATACAACCCATTGCATGATGGGAGTTGTAGTATGATACAACAGCGCCTGAAGTAAAAGGAAGTGATGTCGGTGCCTGATTGACCTCTCCTCGCTGTGCCCGGGCATTGGTACTCCTCCATCTAATGCAATGACGTCACAGACATGAAAAAGGGTCATTGGCACTAAAACTGGGCAAGTTAAAAAAAACGCGTGTTCCTGATTCTGAGGAAAAGGAAGAGACGTGACGGGGGCAAAACTTTCCACAAGTTCACCTTTATCTTTACTGGTGGTGACTGGGAGAGGGCGGAGTCACCAACACACAGGCGAGATCTTGGGGAACGCCGAGTGCCTCAAATCCCATGAGAACATTCTCCGGCACTGTACTGGAGCTTCTTCCTGTGAGATTTGGGCTGCTCGGCCTTCCCGGGATCGCTTCTGAAGGGCGGTGCTGCCACTCACAATGGGGGGCGTGGCCCTGAAACCTTTCTACTGCATGTCATTTTTCCTAATTATAATAAAAAATAAAACCCCCAGTGGTGATTAAATACCACCAAAAGAAAGCTCTATCTGTCCCCAAAAAATGGTATAAAATTCATTTCAGTACAGCGTTGCATGACGGAATAAACGTCAGTCAAAGGACTGCAGCGCTGAACACTGAAAAATGGCCTGGCCAGGAAGGGGGTATAACACCTGGTCTTGAAGTGGTTAAGTGAATCTCCGCCTCCTGCTGATCACCGATTGATAAAATGAGAACTCGGATTATTCGTCTTGTTTACACAAATCATGAGAAGTAACCTACAGATGCTGCGGCCTCACCTCTGGCATGACCTCGATCTTCTCGTAGCGTCTCTTGAAGGGGAGGGTGAGCACCTCAGCGCGGCGATAGGACATGGGGGGAGGCTGGCAGTCTATCATGAGGTCGGATCGGTGGGATTGGGAGGCTGGCGGTTGGGTGTACTGCTCCGGACATACCACATGCAGAGGCTGCGGGACAAACCAAGCACAAATGGAAGTTATAAGGCAGTTGTATCAGGTGAATGGTCCATTCATTCAATGCTTGAGGGTTACGGCCTCTTAGGGTGGTGAGATCTCGGTGCTGGACCTCCCGGGTCTACACACTTGCTGCAGACAACAACAAGGAGGTCTCAATATTCAGAGAATACATCAGCAGTCCAGAGTGAGACTTCAAGAAGACCCGGGAACGATGGTGGGGAGGTCTCACCAGGCCAGGATTCCCCACAAGGCCAGGACTCGGGGCGGCAGCGGTGTGGAATCCCCCAGAACATAGATTTCTGGGCGCCGGGCAGTAAGTTGCTTTCTACATTTAGTCCTGCTTTGGGAAGGCGGGACTAAATGAAGACTATCACACAGGGGCTTGTTAGCTTCTGTGTGATAGCAATAAAGTTAAGTGAAAAAAGAAATAATAAAATAAAAAAGGTGATTAAAAAGTAAAAAAATTATAAGAAACAATATAAAAAACAAAAAAACGGACCCTGCCATCCTCCGTTGATTAACCCTAAGGGGGGGGGGGATTGCAGAACCTGGCCTTGGGGCGGCAGGGAGGGTCTCACCCATAAAGTCCACAAAGGGAAACAAGAACCCAATGGCTGACTTACTCCATAGAACCCTATATGTCAAATATCACATGTGGGTGGAATGCCCCTCCTCCCCCAAGCTGGGTGCTCACCACATACCGGAAGTGCGATGCAGACAGTTCCCCTCATACAATTAGGTGCCTCTGGATCTTTGGACTCACCTGGACCTCCTTCAGAAGTTTGGTGACTTGGATGAAGTTGAGTCTCGTGTCGATCGGACAATAAACGCACTTCATGGCCAGCGGCTGGTACGGGGCCAAGGCGTCCAGGTAGGAGAAGTCTGGTTCTGAATGGAGGACAGATCACAGTATTAGACGACGGCCGTCATGTATTTCCAGGTCGCAGAACTGGGGCAGCACGTTGGTTTCCGACACCGGGAATTCAGCACCGACGTCTTCACCGAAAATATCTCCCCAACATGTCCCCGAGCCCGAAGTCTAAGAGAACCACAAAACACCCCCCAAAACTGAACCCTAAAACTTAAGCGAATCCCCTGAACCTCAACCCTAAGCAGAGCCGGATCATCCACAAGGCAACCTAGGCAGGAATCTAGGGCCTATGGATGACCTTTGACCCCCAGAACAGCTGGTGCCATTCCAATATAGACAATGCAGATGGGGCAACTTCTCTGTCCAATCAAAGCGATGGGGGGTGGGGGTGCTACCTTGTGCCAGAGCCCCTTCTGCCTCAATCTGACTCTGACTCGAACTGTAACCAGTGACCTGAAACACTATTTCAGATGTAGCCTAAGGGACACATAGACATGGGGATCATTGTCCGGTCAGGCTGGTGGCCCCAGAACAAGGACACACTGACACTTGGGGGGCCCAGAACAAGACATGGTTCTATATACCGGTGAATATGATGGTGTTCAGGCTGGACTTCCCCCAGAGCTCCATGAAATGCACCACGTCCCCAAATCTCAGGGTGGGGTGCCCGGTGAACACCACACACGGCTGCTTGAAGTCGTTGCTGAAGTCCCCGTGGATGCTGGGGTAATGCTTCAGCTTGTTGGTTTGGATCAGCTGATAGAAAGAAGGAACAGAGGAAGATATAAAGGGTTAATCATCGCCAACCAATCCGAGCAATGCCACAAAATCAGCAATGTGAGCCCCGCCAATGCCATCCAGAGGCTGTGCCCAGCCAGGAAGTCCCCTCAGTCCTCCTATGAAGAGAACCTGTCATGGCACAAACATGGGAGCCGCCATTGATGACTTGTCTTTGTTGAGTTTGCGTGTTCCGGGCTTGTCACCCTTCTCTTTACCTCTCTACTTAGCGACTCATTGCACGATCTGATGGGTCGTGTCATTTCTGGGTCAGGGACTTGCCAAGTAGTGAAGGAAGGACCGGAGCTTGCACCTTCAAAAACAAGTCAGCAATGACAGCTCCTATACTGCCATCCTGGGAGCTTTCCTTTCAGTTTTCTTTACTTTTCCCATGATCCCTTGCAGCCGGCCCGAGGAAAGTCTGATTGGGACTTCAGC